TCTCGCTAACTGCTTTGGCCGTTTTCGTAAGCCATTAAGGCATAGTCATATCAATGAATGCAGGGCACAGGGTGATGGTCAGAAAATGCTAGCCCTGAGGGGAAGCGCTTCCCCACATTGACCGCATGATATACGACCTATTCAACTGTTTGGTGGGGTATCCGACAGGAGGCCCGTCGCGCGGCAAGAAGGCATAATCGGTGGACGAGTCGATATAAGATGTACTAATATTCTATTTAACTTGACGCGAAATCACTACAGTACGCGGTGCGACTCGTCCGCTGACCTGCCTTCTTGCCTGCGCGACGGGCCTCCTGTCGGGCACTCCTGTTTGGTGAGCTTACTTCGACAGAAGCCCAAATGGACGCAGTAATAGGACAGGAATCGCTATTAGATGAATATTTGCCATGGCCTGAACCATGCATAACCCCGAGAAGTCGATGGAGAAATTTAGTGATAATCGCTTTAGCATAGGTTTCCGGGGACTCTTTAAACTAGCTCCCATCTTATTGAATAGTTCTTCCTTTTATGCTTTACTCCTTGATACACCGTCCCCCTTACTGTTTTGTTCGGTCAGAAATTCGCTAAAGTTAAGAGTTCTGAAAAAATCGACTCTTGGAGGTTTTCGCCCCCTAGGCAAATAACTCCTCGATGCTCCCTTATGGAAGGTATGACGATAGAAACCGGCTGGTACGCCACCCCGCCACGGATTACTCGCGTGAAATTCGCTTCCCATAACCCCATTTCAGCGCACTTACAATGGGGCGCAAAATTTCACACCCGCTATGTGTCAATGTCAAGGATTGGCGGGCAGCCTTTCAGCCGCAATTCCGTTTGATACATGCGAGCGCGCACAAAGAGATGGATGGCGTTGGCTGCAAAATGGCTCACCTCGATGCTTTTCGGTCCCCTATCAACGTAGTCGCCAAGGAAGAGGTAGTTGGATTCGGGAGGGAAGCCGGCCAAAGTGAACAGACGTAGCAGATCGTTGTATTGGCCGTGTATATCGCCTGAAACGAAAATAGACGTCACTTAGGAAGTTGGCGGTGGAAAGAAGCCCATCAGTCATAGACACGCCTGACGCGATTTGGATTAGCCGTACGTCAGAAATAGAACTTTTCAGTGAGAGTAAGCCTGTCATATCGACGAGGAGCTTTAAGTGTTTTGCTGTGGCACCTGCCAGTATACGAGAAACCCTCATATACTACCTCTAACGAAACAGATTTTGAAGTGACAACGAAATCGACATCGCTTCAAAAGACGTCGTGAAAAAGTGGAACAAAATCTGACCAACCTGCAATTTTTAGCGGTGGCTCCAACTCGAGCAGCATCGGTTGATGCAGGAATATCTGCCTAGCTAGCATGCAAATCATCCTAATCTCGTTCTCTGACACGTCCACGCCTTTTTGCCATGGCTTCACCTGAATAGTAACGATATTTTGAAAAAGCCCTGGACTGCAGTTGGACTGGAGAGGGTAAGATTTGAAGGTGGAAATTCACTGAAATTTGAATGATTAAAGCGCGCTATAAGCGCAATCTGTACCACAGCATACCGTTTCTTGACCCTAGTAACTTTTTGCCTGATCTGCTGTTTCAGCATAGAAAGACTTAAAGGCAGTGACCACAATGGTTGGAGGGCGGTGCGGTTTCGATGATGTCATTGAAGTACTATACCGCTCATCACGCCGGCGGGAAGGAGGTGAGTTTGGGACCGCCACCCCACCAGTGACGTCCAGTGACGTCATCACAACCGGACGCCCTCCAGCCATCGTGATCACTGCCTTTAAGTAGTACTTCACTTACGCTAGTATTCCCTGGTATGCCTACGATGAACCTCTTCCGAGAATTCGACCTCATGGTGACGGGCAAGAGGTGTTGTGAGGTAGTGCAAAATGGTGGATGAGGGTATACCAGCAAAGGTCTCCTCATCTAGAGGGGTTGGTTGGGCAATAAGATCAAGCCTTCAGAAAAAATCGACAAGAAGGTCAAATTCGAGTAGTTGAGGAAGGTGGAACGCACGGCCAGCACGATGCTGGCACGATTTCTTTGGAAGGCACTGTCGCACCCCTCTCTGCTCTCCCCCAACCCTACAACTTCCACCACCTCGCATCTCGAGTGTAGTATATGATTCTGGCATCACTTGACACACTCTGACTCCGCCTCTATACTAATGATTAAAGGCAAAAGGCGATTGAAACTGAGTATAGAGATGCGAAGTGGAACGACAGTGGAGAAAAAACTGAGAAAAACCGTCGACAAGGCCGTTAACAAAACCCTCTTTCCCACTAGCAGTGAAGGAGGCTGGCTTGGGGAAAGAGGCACGTACAAACAAGTTTTCTGGAGATGTCAGTCGTTCTATCGGTTGATACGGCAATCAACCTAGCTGATTTCACACGTTATGCCAGCCACGCACCACTTCCGGAGGTGGGCGGTCCTGGATTGACCAGGCGGCCCTGGATTGAAACCGAACGCCCCGGGGCCTTAACGGGGTTTTTCAAGGGGAAGTTGCTGCAATGTGTGCAGCTACCCACATAACCTCCAGGCACGGGAATTACTTCTCTAGCGTGCCTGAGCCCGACCTGCCTTTAACACATTGACGACCGCGCGCGTTTTGGCTTTTTTGGCCGTGTGGGACCGGGCCGATTTTGCGAGTGCGACCGCCGCACCTCGGATCCGTGAATTTTTATTGATAACTTTTTAAAGCACCAGTGGTACAAAAACATCTCAGTAACAGTCAATGCGTAGAAGGTAATAGAGTATATAGTGACGAAGTTCCGATTAAAGAACATGTAATGGTAATGAAAAAGGAAACTTTAGTCATTTTATCTGTAGTGGATGCCAAAAGCTCTTTTGATGTGGTTATACCAAGTGAAACATGTATTTTTCTGTCTCTTTAGATTTGCATTTACTTTCACTACCCTTTTTTATTGACGTGTTCATGAGAATAGCATGAAAACTATTAATGAACCAAGCCGCCGGTTTCGGTGAGCTTGGAAAACTTCTTCTAAACTGGAGCATATTTGAACAAACAATGACCTATGTCGTTCACAATAATGTTATGTTCTAATCCATAGAAGAGAGACAAACAATTCGGGAAAAAGCTGCGCATGCCCTAGAAAAAGGGATGATAAGGGTGAGACGCGGTAACGCGTCTCAATGTCCAACGAGGTGCGCAAAGTGAGACGCGTTACCGCGTCTCAATGTCGTCAATGTGTTAAAGGACGAATTTACGATGGAAAAGCAACCCATTCCAAATTGAGGTAGAGATGGTGAGTAGTACCAGAAAGAAAGCGAAACCACGAAAAACGGCCCAGAACCGGAGAAATGGGACCCCTTCCTTGTCCGTTGATTTGAGCATTGATGGGACTCTCATCGCTTTGCCCTCTTCAACCCTACGCTCTCTCAGCTATCTAATCACTCGCCACTATTGTACTACGGCGAGTGATCAGACGATCGGTGGGCGGAGATCGCCGAACTCGCCAACTTTGAGCCATGCTAGATCTCAGAGGTCAAATCTTTCGATGCCGATTGCGTGTCTGTCCGCACCCTCAAGAGATTCACCGCTCTCCCCACTAGGCGATTTCTCCCTTCTTCGACCTTCGTTCTTTCCGTGCAATCCTCCTTTAAGGAATTTTGCTCTAAAAGCTATGTCGTTTTCATCCGTCGCGGGAAGAAGGACGCTTTTTTTGTTTACCTCTGTCTTTTTTGCTCATTAATAGCTTTTTAACGAGTTTTTTTTGATTACAAAAAACTGTTATGACGAAAGCAACCGATATGAACAATAAATAAAAATAAACAACAAAGAAACAACAGGTTAAGCAACACATACGCAATACTGATAGTTGACATTTTGATAAGCGGGTTTACCCAAGGGTAGGTCTACCTGTGGGATTTGATGGCTCTCAAACGAGACTAAATAAATAATTTATATTGTAAGACGTACCTGCACCAGAGTGCTAATTACTTTGTTTAGATCCAAGTCACCATAATGCACCGATTTCCGCCGCATCACCATAGTTGAGCGCGGAGCTGCTGAACAGAACAGTGATATTCAGAAGGGCATTTCGGCTACGTCACCCGAACACACGAATCGATATGGTAACTTTGAACATGGAAACCTGATGACGAACAACAACAATGATTTCAAAATGAAATAAATAAGCTCGAAAAAAAGCGAAATGAGAAATTACAAACAATGATGGTGAGCGAGGTTTTTGAGAACGTTCACAGAACGTTTTTTGAAACTCTTGTTGCGATCCCACTTCTGTTTTCGGGTATCGCAGTGGCTCAAAGAACGTGCACTAATTAGAGAGACACCGCTTTCTTCTACAAACTTCACTTTCCCTTTGGAATCGGTCATTATTGATGAAACACCATGAAGACCAAGGGCTGACCTGTCAGAAAGGCGACCAAGCGGTTTGCTTTGAAAATTCCAGGCGCTCACGTCCCTCTGGCGAGGGGGTGGGGGTGGAGAGCTTCATAACAGGGAATTCAAATGGGAGGTGATACTGTGATTAAGCCTAAGATATGAAACGGCAGGGAGAAGAAAAGTAGCAGACATGCTCTCCAAGAACCCCTTCCCTTCCCTAAAGCTTATGGTTAGTCTAAGAAACTGTGAGTGGATCAACTTGAATGCCCCCTCCCCCTCAGCAGAGTGAGCGTCGAATTACGTCTTACTATGCCCTGAGAAACGAAGGCATAAATGTTGCCAGATACGAGATCCGTAGAGAAAATGTTGGGTGAGTTGGCCAGACGCTGGCATGAAGATGAGAAGCTTTCTTACGAGGATGTGATTTTTACTAGGGGAGGGTCTGTCATCTTCGTACCAGGAACCATGCCGTTTTGGATCGATGCCCATCAATCGAAAAAGAGTTGCGGGTTTATTTTTGTTGTTGTGCTTTGACATCTTTGCAAGACAGCATAAAGCGTTTGCCGCTAATCAATCCCTTTTTGGGGATTTTTACTTATTTATTTATTTATGCCTTCAATGACACGCCATGTCGAAGCATTTGGCTGTACGCGAAATCATTGCAGACTCAGGAAAGAATTAAAAATAAAAATAATAGAATGAACGGGAAGTTGCTAAAACAACTGGCAATGAAACCCTTTATTAGTTAACACTTAAGAGAAATTAGTGAACACTAATATAAAAGCACAAGCCAGAGAAAGTCGTTCAGGTAAGCAGCTCCCCCCAGAACATGAGTAAAAGAGTAGGAATGATACTGTGATGACTGAAGCTGGGATGCGGCACGCTTTCTACTCCATTTGTACATTGAGCGAAAGTAGCGCAGTGGCAAGTGGCACG